AGAAAGGCAGGAAGGTAAAAGACTGCCCCAAGGTCATGGCCATGGGGAAGAAAACACTTGTTCAAATGTCTTTGATCCTACGCAACCCTCCCCCTTGAACCAACGTTGGAAAACTTGCTGCAGAATTTCCTGAAGAGCAAAACCACCTCTTCTAAGGCGTAATAAACCCCAAAGGTTTACAACAGCTACACAAGGCGATAAATACCGAGTGCAACATCTACGGCCGCCACTCAACACAATGTTCACGTGCAACGACAGCATATATTCCATCTGAAAGCTTCCCCACCAGATAGCAACCTGGCAAGTGGTCGCTCTCGCACGGCTCCATCGGCGTTTCTGGAGCCGCCGCGCAGTCGTGCTGCAGGCACGTCCCGGCCCCTCCAGGAAGGGGTACTCAAGACACCCGGGTTCAGTTGAACTGCGTTATACGTTTGTAAGTAGGGATGGGACCAAATCCAAACCCTGACTTTCAAGGGATCTGGAAAAGAGTTTTCATCCAGCTCCTTCAGCAAAAGTCACCTGAACACAAGCACCTCGAGGAAGGCTGAGATCTCAGCGAGGTCCGCAGAGACACGACCCAGCCTTTGCACAACATACCCCGATGTCCACACGAAAGCTCACCCGAACAATTTCCACGCTCAGGCTCATTCAAAGCACTCCAGGCTCCTCCAGTACAAGTTAAAGTTTTTGCCTTGCTGCTGGTTTGAATTTACTTGCTGGAATAAGCATCCACCGAACTGTGCTGAGCTACAGCCATGCTGGAGAGCCCAGGCCAACTTTTTCTGGCCACACAGACCAGGATGTGTTTACCCAGAGCTCAGAAAAATGATTCAACTTTTATTTTAGCTTAGAGGAGAGACCAAGGGGTCACCTTTATGCTAAGGGCGGTATAAATAGAGGCTGAGTGAAAAAGCAACGTACAGAAAGCCAGGGAGGGAGGAAGAAAGCAAGACCCCATAACTCCAAGTAGACAAGTATTTAATAGACGTGGTTAATAGGGACCAGGGTCCAGGTCAGTCTCATTCTTCAGCCCCCTCTGTCTCACCTCCATATGGATGTGGGCAAATTTACAGCTGCCTCAACCTACGTATTCATGTATATTCGTGCCACGGGACGGAACGGCATACCTTCAGGCGGCAGAGCAAAAGCCAAAACTTCTGCAACACTCCTGGCCCTGAGCTTTCTCCTGCTCTCCTACGCTGCTGCCAAGTCTCTGTCAAAGAAATTGCAGGGAGGGAAGGAGGTCTGAGGGGAAAGAGGACTGGATGCTGGAAAATAACCCAGGGGACTAAGGCATGCAGGCTATTGGGAAGATAAAGAAAATCAGTGTCTCAGAAAACCACCACCAAATACTGGGATGAAATTATTTTTCACCCAGCGACCTGAGCTGCCAAAGAAAAAAAAATAAAAAAAAGGACTTAAAGCACAGCTGGTGGCACCCAAAGCCAGAGCAAGGCTGAGTCATGGACCAGGAGCTGCAGGGCAGTCCTGCAGTTGCTGGACTCGCTGTCTGTCACCTGCACAATCCCTGCTTTCCTCTCCAAGACAACACCCTTCAATCTCCCAGGGATGCTCCAGGGCTTAGCAACTGTCTGCGAGCCCCTGTGGATCTCTGGCGGAGCACCTCGCTGCACGGCAGAATATGGTGATATTTTCTTCGCTGTATTAATACAGCTGTCGCCACTCTCATGCAAACACTTGCCACCTGCCAGCATTTGCCGCAGCAGCCTTGTAAAGGATCGCTGGCCTGGAGGAGCCGTCCCGTGCTCCAGCACCAAAGCAACTGCATGACACGGTGCAAACCTTGAGCTGTGCAAAGGAGGGGGAGACGACCAAGTGCATCCAACGAGCAGCATCTCATGCAGAAGAAGAGCCTCAGCGCTGCATGGGCTGGATTTATTCGGGTTTGCTATTGCATGTTTTACCATCACAGTTTGCTAGAAGCCCATGATTCTGTACTAGGAGTTTGGATCTCTATGCTTACACTGGCGCTAACTTCTTCACAGCATTTAGTGCCAAAAGAAACGTGCAGGGAGACACGCGAACGCAGATATCGGGCAGCAGAGCAGTTCGCCGTTGCATGAGCCGCCTCGGGTTATTTTTACGAGGATTGCAGAGCGCACGCTTGGCCACGGCTCACCGTTAGTCTCCCAGGGCAAAACGTGGAGCAGAAACCAGCTTAGTCACGATGCTTTGGAAAAGGGTAACCTCAGCGGGGGAACGGGGCCTCTCTGCCTGGAAACACGCCCGTCAAAATAGGTTTCTCCAGTTTCCCATTTCATTGCCCCATGGGGGAGGAGAGAGGAAAGGATCTTACTCTCTATAAGAAAAGGGAAAGGGATATATTGGTATCCTTGCATGAGTTCACTATCCAGCAGAGGGATGTGTCTGTGTCTTGAGCTCACACTGTAGGACATGGGACATCCATCCTTGGTCTGGAGATGGAGATTTGGGTCCCCAATGTCCCCGAGCCATGTCTGCACACTGCTGCACCCGCCTCACCCTTCCCAACATGGTTTATTGAGTGCAGAGAGTTTTATGAAGCACTTCCAGAGCCAGTTCCACACCATAGCCCAGGCAGACACACCTCAAGCATCACCATGGTTTTTCCTCAGCAAAATTAATGAAATCTTTAAATATATCAACAAAATCAATTTCCTTCATTTTTAAACACTGGTGGAGGCTATTATTAAGTAAAACATCCACAAGAAGCAGCAGTGAATGACTCTATCCCTTCATACACTCTTACGGGAAATTAAAGACCCATTATTAGCAGTAAGTACAGGAGACCAATGCCTGCAGGTCCCACCTCGGACCCCCACCCCCTCATACTGGGCACATCAGACCTATGGATGGTCCCTTCCCAAGAAGAGCTTAAAAATGCCATGTGCAAACGAAAAGGAGGCACGAGATGGGTAAATGGCTTGTAGTTCAGCAGCAGAGATGAGAACAGATGAGCTAGCTCTGAGTTTGCTGTCTCCAGGAGGGAAAAACAAACAGCCAAACCCACCCCACCAACAAAATCCAAGGAGACAGAGTGCAACAAGTGTGCTCTTGGCAGAAATTCAGACACCTGATGAGCTTGCTGGGATCTGGTGGGAGATACACACATCCCCTCCAGGATCACCTAAAAAATATCTGGGGTTCACCATGTGATGCCCAACAGGGGCTGGGTCTTGTTTAGATGTCCCCCCTCCCGAGACATTGCTGGGACACTGGTGGTGCTGCCCTCCAGGAGGGCTGGAGGAAGGGCTGCACCCCTCTGCATCACAGGGGATGGACTCACAAAGGTCAGGTATGCACCTCGCCTGGGGCATCTGCACCTTTCCTCCCCGCTCCAGGTTACGCTAGCGTATGAGGTCTTACACGCTGCAGTGAACTTGGATGATTGATGCCGTGGCACTGCTCCAGACAGCTCCTTCCCAAGGACAAAAAGGCATGGGAAGGGTTTGGAGGACAAGGAAGGAGAGTGTTGGGAGGTGTTTCCTCATGGCCCTCAAACAGAGCTCCATCACATCTGCAAGCGTGACCAGAGCCAAACACGTTAGAGGGGTGGAAGGGCTTACTTTTTGCTCAAAGTGAACTTTTTGGTAGCTTATTGGTTCCAGACAGCAAGTTCAGGGAAGCCACGCAGCTCCCGCACTCCCAGGGAAGCTGTTACGATGAAGACACCCCACCACAAAGCTCTGCAAACCCTCCTTCGGGTTTACTGGAAAACACCACTCAGCCTTTTCCTACAATTCACACCATTTGTTTTAAATGTAATTTTAATTCCTGACAAGCAATGTGCTGGGGAGAAGAAAAACCCAACTATGATAGATGAGCCTTCAGCTCCCCCATCACGCTCTGACCTGTGCCAGACAAGGTGAAACATGGACAGAGATGTCTCTTTAGGAGGAAACCCATTCCTGGGAGTTTCAAAGGGAGTTGAGGGAGCATCACCAACTACAGCTCCCGCTCACCCTACAGCCCGCACGGTGCTTTGCAGAAGGAAGGTATTTCCTCTGAAAGATGCGTATCTTAGGTGTTTGCATCCAGTTCATCTTTGGTGCACGACATGTCACCGTGACTGTAGTGCCAGGACACATCACACTGATTTAGCAGAGCTGTGCCACCCTCCCAAAATTACAGGTAGGGAACTGCAGCATAGGAGAACTAAGAGATGAAAAATCCCCAGAGAGATCTGATATCACCTACGTCTCCTGCAATGACCGCCTGGTAGCTTTTGGTCTTCTCTCTTACTCCTCTTCCTCCTTATCCAGTATGCTTTGACAGCTCAGACATTTCACACCTTTCTAAGGCTAGCTCTGCAAATCAGGTACCGACATTATTGCTTATTTAAAAGAAAGCCTGGGGAAAGAAACCTTAATTATCCAAACAGCCAGTGGCCACCATGCAAAGTCACATTTATCACAGAAGGGACGGAGCCAGCCTGGGATTTTCAAAAGCCCTTACGCTGCTGTAGCCGGCAGCGAGCAAATGGGGCTGAGAGTTTTAAAAGCGCACGTCTTTCTGCAGCTGCGCTCACAGAGAAACCTGCTCGTGTCAGAGCCCGAACAGCAGCCCAGGGAGGCTGTGCTTTTTTGGAAACCTGGCCTTGAAGGCACAGTCAAGGACTCTCTTGTCATTTGGGGTCATGATAAATATCGCACAAGGGCGAGGAATGGTCTGTTATCCTTGGGAGGCAGAAAGGGTTCCTGATGGGGTAAGGTCTTTAACACAGAAACACAAAGTGGCAGAAAGCGGAAATAACTGGCAAAATAAAGTGCTAACACCCAAAGTACTAACGTTAGGCAAATGTTGCTTGGTCAGCTGGAAAACCCAATACTGTGCAATCAAACCATGATCTCCAAGCATGTCCTCTTGGTCCAAAGACCTGCAAGCACAGCAGTAACCGGGAAGCTTTTTCCCTGGCATTCAGGGAGAAGCTCCACGCTCCCAGAAGAACAGTTTCCCAAGCCAGCACAGTTATGGAGGTGTGATGAGACCATGGTACCTACCGGTTTGGGGCAGTGAATGTATCTAGCAAGGCTGATGATCAAGTCATGAGTGATTGGATCCACCAGGTTTCGAAAGCTGGCATATCGATAGAGGACATCATCCAGCGAGGTCGACTCCATTCCTAAATCCTGCAGAAAACAGGGTAAAGGAGCAATATTACATGTGCTACAAAAGCCAGTTCTAGCATGGATCTTAAAATTAGCCCACATTGGTGGTCCCCATGAAGAAGCCAAGAAGAAAGTGATTCCCACCACCACCCAACACAAGGAAGGGAGACACAAGCTGCACTCCTGTCCTTTATCTGCTCTGCAAAGAGGCGTTAGGGCTGCAGGATGAACACCCTCATGTCACTTCACAAGCCATAAATCCACCGAGCGAACAGTATGCTTGCGCTAAGGTAAAAAATCAAAGATGACTCCAGAGAACATGACAGCTCGATCAGCATGAAACTGGAATTGGAGAATAAGTATAGCGTAGATGTGCTCTGGGTCTGCTGTGCATAGGGAGGAAAGAATGAGCCTAAAATTGCAGCAATGGAAACAGGAGGATAAATTGGGGAGGGGGTGTGGGAAGAGCAAAGTGCTGGACTAGATTGCCTGGGGAAGGAGTGGAAGCTCGGCCGTTGGAGACTGGACAAGGAGGTGTCGGGAACAGTTCAGATCAAGCTGATCCTGCCCTAGGGATGGATCAGACCTCTCGAGGTCCCCTCCAAGACTATTTTCTATGATTTGCAATCCTTAGACATAGTAATTTGAGGAATTTTGGCAGAGAACTCATCATTATATGAAATACGTTAGTGCAGAGGGATGAGGAGGGGAAGGGTTATATATAGTGTACTCCTTTTACTTCAAATATTTTATCTCCACTATGTTTTGTTCCTCAGCAGCAGCCGATCAGGGGATAGGACATCACTCCTCTCAGATGAACGCACGTTGCAGCGAGGTCCACCAGCCACCCCATAGGATGGCCAGAGCCAGTCCATCGAGGACATGTGCCTCACGGGTCCCATCCAACACTGGAGCTCCAGGAGATCTGGCTCATTTTCCAGCCCTGCCTTATCGGGTGAGCTTGAGCAAGCAATTTCTCTTTTGCCTTTTATTTTTGACAGGAGTAAGATGGTTTGTATTTCTCTTCAAAGGCCTGCTTTCGCTTTTAAAGAGTGAAACCCAGAAGCAGCCTCCTCTACTTGGTATGGATGGGAGTTAGCAAAATGAAGACCCACGGGTCCCACTGTATTTCAGGAAATTCATCTCTCCTTTGGGTAACGCATCCACTTTCCCATAGCAGAGACATCACTACATCTACCTCCAGGTATTTACTTTCCAGATGATCTCTACAAGACTCAGTGGGCAGGGCCATACCCACGTTGAGATCTGCCTGCCACCCTGGAATGCATTTTGGCAAGATAGAGCCCCTGCATTACCAAAACAACACGGAAGCAGTTTGACAGCCACCACTGAAGAGTGGAGATGTAACTTGGTAAGGAAGAACTGACCACCAGCATTGTCCCAGTGCCACAACCTCGGGTCCTTCAAGCCCTCGCTGGCAATGGGAGCTCGGTTTGTAAGCTGGTGGGCTGGTCCAGCTCCGAGTGCCTACTCCTGCTTCTTGAACCAAAACACAGCTCAAACGAGGAATCATTTCAACTATCGATGAAAAATCAGGCAACGATGAAACCCTCATATCTATCTCTGCTAGCATTGAGGAAAATTACTTCTGACCCCCAAGAACAGCCACGCTGGAATCAGAGACTTGTCCACAACTGCATCAAATGCCAAGTCGTCCTCCCACGTAGCTGGTGGCAGTCGGCATGAAGAGTTTCACGATGTTTGAAAACACATGTGTCTCTGGGGGTGAAAAGGCCTGCTGCCCAGCAATGGCAGTGCTCCCAGGGATTAATCATGGTGCCATCAGACCAAACTGGTCCAGTTCTACAAAACATTTGAGGTTGAAAAGAGCTGAGCTGCAAAAATGAGATGGAAGTTTCAGGTGAAGAAGGAATGAGCAAAGCAAGAAACATGCATAAAGGGGGAAGCATTTGGTGCTCTGGTCCTCTTCCTAGGGAAGACCAACGGGCTACAGGGCTGAAATACAGGAGGGGATCCGGAGGGCAGGGGGTGCTGTCATGTGGAGCTGGGGCAAGTGAAGCATAAAAGTTATTCATAACGTGCCGGTATTAGGAAGGTGCTACTTGGCCATGTAAGAATCTCAGCCTGGCTAAGGGACTCAAAAAAAATTGAAAAGTGTTAGACACACAGCACAGGGCTGGGACAATCTTATTCACCATCATCCTGAAAAATCAGCCTTCCTGCCTCTCTTTTTATTTATAGTTTCAACTAATAACATGTTATTTATTGAACATTTTGCACATCTGCAGAACTTGCCATGTGAGGACATTACAGCATCTCACAAACGCAAATTGCACTTATCACCCAGAACCACAAGCACTTACCTTTAGAAATGATGCATTTAAAAGGAAGGCATCACACAGAGGCATTATCTCCCTTACAGAGCTGAGCAGAGCAGCTCAGTGAGATGTTAAGCCCTGCAGATGTGAGAGAGGAGCCCACCCCATATGTGCTACAGCCAAAGCACCGCAGCTCCCAGCCCTCACAGTATAAATGCAGCTTTTGCCCAAACAAGTAGATTAGATGTGGTAGGGTTGGATATAGCTGCTGTTGTAGGAAATAAAAAACCCAACATGGGAGAAAGTAGCTTTACATGGTCTAAAAACTGGAAACAAAAAAAAAAAAAAAAAAAAAAAAAAAAGGATAATCACAGACCCAAGCAACCTCCCTTTGTGCATGTACACACGGATAAAGACCATGCAGAACAACAGAAATACAGTTCAGGAACTTCAACTATCAGAAATCCATGATCGCTGTCAGACCCAGGAGACAGACGGGGACAGAAACGTGTGGCTGAGGGTGGGGACTGTCCCCAGGTCCTGGAAATAATCTGCAATTTGACCAGCTTTGGGGTGTGTTAAAAGCACCCCGAGACAGCCTTCCTCCAGCCGATGCCCCTGAGCTCGGCTGCTCCAGGGTTGCAGTTTGCAGCTCATTATTGACAGCCACACACACAATTTGTTAATAATTTAAACAAAAAAGTTCCCTTTCCCTTGCCCCCAGTGTTTGAATACAGCAAATACAAGCCCGTAACACCTTGGCACCCTGCAATAAACTGGAACCTCTCCTGAGCTCTGAGGTGCTCCAGCCCCAATGAACCGCATGGGAAGGCACACTGGTTGTAGGTGCTGATGCTCTGTCACTTCAGACAGGCTGAAAATTATCATCTTCACTAAAAACAACAAAAAAATAAAGAAAAATGTATTCCACCTTCAGACACTGGCTGTAGCAGCCAAAGGGATCTCGCATTGCGTGCAGTTACAGCTCATGCCACAAACGAGGTGGCAAGCCTTTATTGTCCTGGTTTCCTTGTTTTTAGGGACATCACCACAGCACGGAGTTAACACTGGCTTCACTGACTCTCTGACTGCAAAGACGCCATTTAGTAAAAAAGAGGCAGTTAAAAAAACACCAAAAAAAGCCTGAAAACAACAAATCTAACTGGCCACAAAACCCACCCAGCCAATGCGCCCACTGATTGCAAACATACCAAGTTTGAAAAATAAAGTGGCTGAATCGATTTATGATCTATCTCACAGCTTCTGCCAAGTTGGCACTTAAAAAAAATTAATTAATCTCAGCACCGAGGCGTAGAGCTAAGAGGAGGGTGTGCATTGTGCTCGCCAGGAGCGGCACTGTGACAGCCATGCCAGCCCACAAAGGATGCTCCAGCGCAACTGGGTTTAATTAGGCTGGAAAATAAACTTCTTCATTCAAGACCATCTTCATCCTCATGTATTTTGGCACCACGTGGATCCGCAGGTGACTGCACAGAACCGAGTGGGTTCAGGAGCTCGGGTTCCTTTGCGAGAGGAAAAAAAGGGAGAAATAGAAATTGTGCAGATAAGGTAGGGCAGGGAGATCCCCAAAGGAAACTCCCACTCTTTCAGGAAGAGAAACACCTCTCCTAACAGCAGCGTGGATGTTACCTTCCCAGTCTGGTAGAGCTCAACATTAGGATTACGCAAACATCAAGTAAGAGTTGGATTTGGCCCCTGGTCATACGGCATCGCTGGCAAACACCAAGCACTGCCAAAGACGACAGTTTTGGGGCTTGGTACAAGTAATTCTGCACATGCAGCTCTTGACACACCGGGGTCTCTGAGGATCAAACCAGGCTTATCACTTCTCTTTAAGCATCTCAAAACCCTGACAATTTTCTCTTAAGCTAAAATTAAAATGTAGAATGAATAAATCAGAGAATTTCTCCTCCTCTCTCCTGGGAGAACTTAAATTTTTCACATGAAGTATTCCCTCCTCCCTCCTGGTACACATTTTTTATGCACAGATGTCTTTCTCAGCTGCTCCCTAAATCTCTCTGCCACACCAGCATTGTCTCTTTTCCACCACATGTAATATTTTAAAGCCACTCAAGGCTGAAACTTGTTTGAGGCCAAGTGATGAGCTCATCTGCAATTTAATAACTTAGCACCAGTTCATGCTGTCAGCAGCAAATCACGAATCGCTAGCTTTGGAGAAAACGCCCAGCACCTGGCTCGAGTCACTTGGGCTTTTTTCAGCACATTCCCTTTTCCCAGGAGATCTTTACCTGGATAGCAAGTGCAACTTTCAAATAGAAAGGGTCTAAGGGTTTAAAATGACGGTATTTATGAGCCAGGACCACAGCTTTCTTGGTGTAGGCTGGAGGGGTGTTTTTCTTGTAGGCACCCAAAAACCCCACGCCGTGCTGAGATGGTTTGGGGAGGTTTGCACAAGTGCAGCAGGAGAAGGGGAACATCTCTGCATCCCTGAGCCACCTCGAGTCCTGACATCCCCGTGGGCGCTGGCAGGAGGAGGCAGAGAGGACCTTTCAGAGCAGCATATTCAACAGCACATCTACACCCATGAGCCAGCCGGCGCTAATGCCCAACTTGGGCAGGATTTGGCATTAACGACACAAAATGAGCAGAGAAAGTCAGGAACGCAGAAGTGACTGAAAGCAACCCAAAAGCTGCGAAAGGAGCAAAAAGCACCAAGGAAGAAGCTGCTGACCCTGACGT